AAAGTTAAAGGTTGCACCAGGATTTCCCAAAGTAGGCAGCTGTACTTTATGGAATAAAGATTATGTGGTAATTTATGGCTTGTGTTAATGGCCTTTAATTATTATTGTCACAGATAATAATGGGCTACAGTCAGGATTTGGAAGGAAAAGCGAAAAAAGATCATTGCAGTGGTAATAAACTAATTGTAGCAGTTTAATAATACATTTGCATACTAACAGATGAGGAGAAAGAGTTTCTGCACCAAATAGAAGATAATCAAGATATTAAAAAAGATTTTCAAACAAAGCAGGAAAAAGATGCATTATCAGGTGAATGCTGTATTTTATTCAAATTAATTTGAATTATTGAGTCTATAGAGTTAAATGAAGAATTGAAAAAAATTAATAAAGCACAAAATTTGGAGATTGAAAATTTAAAGGCTACTATCAAGGAAAAAAATGAAAGTATATTTGGTTAATTGTAATACAATTACATTAGATTATTCTGTACTAATTAGCTATTGAAGAACCGATACAAGTACTGCAGAAACAGTCACAGGACAAAGAAGAAGAGGAAGGAGATTTTCCCCATAAAGGCCTTTATTGTAGGTTGAATTTACACTAAGTTTGGCTATATGTGACATTATTATTCATTAATTATAATAGATGAAGAAGATGATGATGATTATTATTATTATGATATGAACAAACCACAGGAAATGCATTTTTCACTAACTGAAGTACCAGAGTCAGCAAATATTGATCAGCTATTAAAATTGAGAGAAAGTAAGTATTGAGGATTTTTACATTATTTATACACTGCTTAATTATTTTGTCCTTTTAATGTTAGGAAAAGAGCTTGGGTCAGTAGTACTTCATGATAATGGAGTTAGGCTATGTGATGTTTCAATAAAACAATGTCAAGAGTTGCTAGTCAGGATGAAAGCCAAGTACTTTTGGATTGACATCAATAGATCAACTCCTGATATTCCACGATTCCTGATACCAGCTCTGCTAGAGATAAGATCAATAGGTGTGATCAAGTTAAATTGCACCCCACTAGATTCTGATGTCATTCGTTCATCCTCATATCAGTTATCACACAACCGGACATTAAAGCATTTAGTAATCAAAGATGGTTCCATCAATGATGACGGAGTAATAGCATTAGCACAATCATTAAAGCACAACTTGATGCTGTCTTCTTTAGATCTTAATCACAATCCTGGCATTACTTCAGCTTGTGTTCAGTCACTAGCTGAACTTTTACTCACTAACAACACACTGACTCGACTTGATCTACAGTATAATAACATTGATTCTGATGGTATAGTCATATTGATGGAAACTCTCAAAACAAACAAGATATTAGAAATCAGTCTTAACAAGTACCATTGGCAACGTTGTTCTTCATTACCTTATTATCGTGACATTAGTGAAAGACTTAAATTTCTTGACTTTTGCCCCTAATTTTGTATAATTCTTTTATTTTGTTAAACCTATAGTATACTTTATGCAATGTTTAAATCTGTCGTTAGGTGTCACTAATTATATTGCACTTAATCATTATGCTCATGCAATAATAAAATTCTTCAAATCTGTCAGCTAATTTCCCCTCTTTGACCGGAATGAGAAGAGAGCAATCAAAATACACTACAGACCAGCAATTAAAAGAACCAGCAATTGCCACAGTGACACTAACTACATGTACCCCTTCCTAATATTTTTTTACCAAGACATACACACATAGCAGTCACATAAATTTTGCTCTTTGTATCTTTCCTTTTTCAATTATGACTAAATTTAAGTGTAAAAATTATAAAATAAAATTTTTAATTGTCAACTTACACTCAGAGACACTATACACTAATGATTACACAAAAATAGTAACAATTATTTTTTCAAATCACTACAAATAATGTCAGCTAGTTTCCTCTCTTTGACCTGAGGAGAGGAGAGAGCAATCAATACACTAGACCAGGTATTAGGAGTAGTTAGCTGTGCCTGCCATTTTGAGAAAACTTCCATAATCTTGAGAGTATCATCTCCACGCTTTCTCCCAATGGTGCTCAATGTAGATGGACTCAGTCCCAGCTCACTCCCTATCCCCCTCCATTTATCTGAGACCTCACAACCTACCTTTTGCATTAGCACTGCAATCGTTGGTGAGTCAAAGTGTTGGTAAATTTCATATTTCTCTATAAAATAAAGATATTATAATCCAATATCTTGTCAGAGAAATAAAACTAGAAAATCATCTCTCCTGTCTCCCTCTCTCTCTTACTATCCATCTCCTTTTGTTTCTCTCTCCTTTTTGGTATTTCTTGAGCTACAGCATTTAACTTCACAGTAGGACTGCACAGTCTAGTCTGGAGCTCAGACCAGAGATATGGAGGGTAAGCCTTACTCCTCCAGGTGTTGAATAAATCCCTGCAGCACTCCAACACTTCATCCTGATTGTTGATAGCTATTGATTCAATCTCTGCTTCATCAAAATCAAGACTGTTAGCTAACTATATTCAAAACAGAGGAGAGAGAGAGAGAGAGAGAGAAAGGGGAGGGAGAAGCAAGAAAGAATTGTCCATCTTGTAGTGTTTAAAATATTATTAATACCATCTTCCATTGATCTCCAACTATGTGAACTGCAACAAAATTCATTAAATCATTAATATCAGGCTCAGTATCTAATTCATAATAAAATAATAAATACATGAATAATAAATTACCTTCAAGGACTGGTAATTGTGAATCACCTATAAATAGAATGTCATAGTAATGTTACTATAAATAGTATCAATACTGACCAGGGAGAGAGGTTCTACTTTCGTTGGGCGAAAGTTGAGGAACCAAATCAGGGGGAACTGTACCACCACTAGCCTCTATAACAACAATAAAAATAATAATAATAACATAACACAAACAATAATTCCTCAAATAATTCTTTTTTGTACCAACTTACCAAGTGCTTCAATAAGTTTGTTAGCCGTCATGCTTAAATCAATCTTTCTCAAGGCTAACACAACTGCTCTGAACGTCTTCTCTGGCAATAGCTTCATTTTAACTGACTCGATGGCAGAGAGTATGGTGACTGCCCTCTCGTATGGGGGATTCCTCGAGTCCTGTACATTTTGATGCACCGTCTTGTCTATTATATCGTTAGTGTAGAGATGAGTAGCAAATGGAAGGATGACTGATTGATTCCCAGAGAGTGTGTCGGCCAGAGCACTGTACTGAGAATGAAATGCTATCATTTCTGGACTCTGCTGCTCTCGACTTGGCTTATCAGACGCCATATTTTTATAGGCGTGGTTAAAATACGGTCACACCCAGCAATTTGATGGTTATTAATTTTTATAACTTTATTAATGAAGCTCATGAATAATTTGCTTTTTAAATAGTTTCCATTTATTCTGCTCATTGATGGCACCAACTAATTGGCTCTTCTCTGGAAAATATCCAGACTAATAATAATAATAATAAATGATATTTACACACTTATTTTTCCTCTTACTTCTGTTCTAAAAAGTCTCAATAGGTCAGGGTTTGTATTTTTAATAAAGAAGTGTCTTTTAACTAGTACACACTCTGAACCACGACTCATCTGTTCAAATAAACAATAGCAGCTGCCAACATAAACTGCACTCACTAAACTCATCCTGCAGGCTGGCTTGTTATAAATTAGCTGTATTCCCTGCATTAAACAAAGATTATTCTTTTAATATTGCATTTACTAAGATCTTACAAAGCACTCTCCTGGTTCTACAGTATTCAGTTGCATGTAGCGTCTCCTAACAATCCTCCTATTATCCCTCAACTTGTAATTAGCTGATACCAGACACACAGATGGAGGTACTATTGGTAATGTGAATGAATCCTTCTCTTTTGCATGCTCCAGAAACTCAATAATAATTCTACAACTACCCTATTACAAATCAATGCATAATTTTTTAGCCTACACTGTAGTAAAGTCTTACTCTTTTAACAGCTACTATCCAGTCTGGTCTATTATTAGGAGAACATTGAACAACAATACTGTTATACCTACGTGCAATTATTAGCAATAATTACTATTGCTATTGTGCATTACTAACTTGAAATATTTTGCATAAATGAAATCCGGAGATGAGGAGAGTAAATGAACAGGCCAAGCACTGACTAATGGTAGCTCACTGGTAATGATTTGAAATGATGGAGAGTAAAATTTTTAAAATGAGAAAATTGATTTACCTTAAGTATTGGATAGCAGCTTGTGTTTTGTCTAATACTGAGTTTGCTAATATCTCATGAAAATCCTTCAGACAAAATATCAAATTAATTTTTATATAGTTTCTTACCTTCCCACGTACTACAAGTAATTCCACATATCCTCGACTGATGACAGTAACATTGTGCTTTGTTCTATATAGTACTCCTCTTTCCTTATAAGGAATGCAGTTATTAATAGCTAGTAACTTACCCCAAACCAATCTCCAGGCTTAAGGAGATTAACAGTCAAATCAAAAACTCTATCCGTTCTGACGTCAGTTTCCTTTTGATTAACATACACTGTTTGGCAATATTATTAAAATAAAGAATGCAATATGCAATGTATATGCAGAATTTACCTGAGCCACACCAAATAAAATAAACTGACATAGCTGGGTGTGTTTCCTTTATTATGATACGTCCTGATTCGTAACTAATGTAACTACTCAGTAAATTACTAATAATAATTATTGTTGCACAAACCTTTCCAGAGTCATGACAGTTGCTAATCTCTTTT